GTGAGCCCGTGGCCGTGGGACTCGGCGGGCACCAGGAGCGACCCCAAAAAACGAAGAAGGAACCCCGTAAGGGGCTCCGGAAACGTGGAAGGGGAGCGGTGCTGTGAGTTCATCGCTCTTTCTGCGGGAGTGAAGCCGCGCGGCTGCTGCTGATGAGCGCCGACCTTTCTTCTTGGAACATCAGGCTCTAAACTACCTACTCGTGAGTAAGGATCAATCATTTTGGGACTAAAAGTGTTAAATTTGGCTGAAAGCGGGAGACGATAAACAGGAAGTCCGTCTTCCGGCAGTGCTTTAAAGATCAAAGGCAAAGATTTTAACAAGCGGGAAGCAGCTTTAAAAGATTATAAATTTGGGACTATCGTGTTGATAGAATTGGCTTTTAAAAAGAAGGAGAAAAGATTTTTATTTCTAAGTGTTTTGGATTTTAAATGGGACTTTCCTCCCCTTTATGGATTATAAAGAATTAAGAACCAAACCTCGGACTGACTGAAAAAAAGAGAGCTGTCATTGCGGAAACTGTATCCAAAATAGAGACTGTTACAGTTGAGTGATACTGGCAAGATACAATTAAATAAACTGTTACTGGCACCTTTTATCTGAGACTTTGTGGCAGCTTGGGAAGTGCTCTGTAAGCTAAAAAGTTTATGAAGAACTTTTGGTAAATTAGACTCTTTTGAGGCTGCAGGGACTTTAATGGCGGACAAAGTTCTTTCCTTTCTATGAACTACAGTAATACTCCCCTAGTGGAGTTCTGGAATTACAAGTGCCTGGGAACAAATTTTATTTGGACTATCTGCTGCTCTGTTATTTACACTTTGGAACTGTCCTTCCCATGGGACAATATACAGCTTGACCTTGACTCATAGACAGGTGTGGAATGAGTGGCCAACCGAAAACAAGATCTGCGAAAACGAAAGCAAGACAAGCCCAACTTGTGCAAACAACTTTGACTACTCAGTCACGTAGATCATCTGTCCCAGCTGTTTTGGGAGTACAAGAAAAGGAAACTGCACAGCCTGCATCAGAGGATATGGCAGAGGGAGGATCAGATACCTTCTTACAACAAATGTTAGAACAATTTGCAATATTGAACAAGAAGGTGGATGACCAATCGGCAAAAATAGATCAAGCCACATCCTCTATTACTAAATTGTCTGACCAAGTTGCACAACATACACAAGTTATTGGGAATCTTAAGGAAGCAACTGTGGAAAATCGGAGACTGGCTGAAGCAGCCAATGAAAAAGCAGAACAAGCAAATCAAACAGGTGAGGCTATAAAAGGGAGGTAAGGCCACTACACAAGCACATTAGTGATCAGCAGGCTTACCTGTCTATGGTGGAATTGAGAAACCGGGAAAACAATCTGAGATTAAGAGCTATCCCAGAGCTTGAACAGGAAGATTTAATTGGTTATCTGACAGCAGAATTTTCCAAGTTCTGGGGTATAGAAGAGGACAAAGATTTCAAGATCACAACTGCGTTCAGATTAGGAAGAGTCGTGAGGAGGGACAAGCCCAGAGACTGTTTGATTATTTTGAGATCCAAGCAGGAGAGAGATAAAATACTAGGCCTCCACTTTAAGAAATCACTTGATATCCAAGGCAAAAGAGCAGAATTTTATAGAGATATTCCTAAACAACTTTTGGATCTCAGAGCCACATATACAGACCTAGCAAGACTACTGAGAGGAAACGCGATTCCATATAGGTGGGAGTTCCCCAAGGTTTATCTTTTAATTTTAAAGGAAAGAAAATTAAGATTAAAACATCAGAAGATAACCAGAAGTTCCTGCACGACCACGGAGAAGACCTTCAGAAGGGAGCAGCAGCCTCTTGGCCACCGCCACTGCCTGGAAAAGCACCGATACCTACACCCTCGGGGCCGGAAGAAAAGGAAGACACCCCACTATAGGAACAACAGATTGATTCAGAATGTCTCTGCAGCTGTACAGTTGGAATATAAATGGCGGGAATTCCCGGAAAAAGACGAAGGATTTTTCATATTTTGAAAAAGAACAATTGGATATTGTTTGCTTGCAGGAAACGCATGTGACTAGGCTCCATAGGAAAGTGTTAATTAACAAAAGACTAGGCCAAGAATTTATTTCATCAGACAAAGTCAAGAAAAGAGGCGTAGTGATTTATGCAAAGGAGAACCTGTCACCGAAATTTCTGTTTAAAGATGAGCAAGGAAGAATTTTGGCAATTGAGATACAAACACAAGGAGAAAAGTTTTTGATTTTAGGAATATATGCACCAAATGAGGGGAAATCGGAATTTTACAAGAAGCTGCATGAGATAATGCTGGACTATCTGGACTATACCAACATCATAATGATGGGCGATATGAATGGGGTGGTTTCTACTCACATGGATAAGTCACAAAATCAAAATTTAACTAAAGACGGCAGACTACCTAAAACCTTCTTTGAACTAACTGATAACATGGACTTGATTGATATTTGGAGGACAAGGAACCCCTTAGGTAAAGAAGGAACATTTTTTTCTGAGGCCCACCTATCATGGACAAGAATCGACCAAATATGGACAACTAGAGGACTGGCACCTAAGATCAGAAAAGTGGAAATCTGTCCAAAGACTTGCTCCGACCATAATGCTTTGAAAGTGGAATTGAGACTTACTCCAACCGGTTCTTTCAGATGGAAAATGAATGACACCCTACTAAGAGATCAGGAGATTGCGAAGAAGGCCCAAAAAAACTTTAAAGGACTATTTTGAAATCAATTTGAACACTTCGGTGGAAAAGAGAACAATCTGGGACGCAAGTAAAGCTGTAATGAGGGGGTTTCTGATACAACAGAACACAATTAAGAAAAACTTTGGAATGGGAAAAAGATAGGATATTAGAGAAGATAAGAGAAGGAGAGAAAAATTGAGATTAAAACCAAAATCAAAAGAGGTTTTAAGAGAAATCAAATTCCACCAAGCTCAATATGCGAAATTGATAAATCAAGAAGTGGAATGGAAAATCAAACAAATGAAACAAAGATCATTTGAATCGGCAAATAAATGTGGAAAACTGCTAGCATGGCAGTTGAAAAAGAGACAAAAATTGAACTTTGTCACTAATTTAGAGGTGGAGGGAGAAACATTCAGAAACCAGAAGAAATTAGAAAGTGTTTCCAGAAATATTTCAAAAACTTTATACACAAGGGCCTCAGGAAGCGTCTGAGATAGATCAATTTTTAAAAGTTAACGGTCTATCCAAACTATCTCAGGAGAAGAGGACAATCTTAAATAATAGAATAACACGACAGGAAATAGAGGGTGCCATTCAGAATATGCAACTAGGTAAATCTCCAGGCCCAGATGGACTTACCTCCAAGTACTATAAGACACTAAAAGACTATTTGATACAACCACTAATGGAGGTCTGTAACCAGATTATGGAGGGGAGGAGGGCACCGGAAACGTGGAAAGAAGCTTTCATCACATTGATTCCTAAATTGGAATCTGAAAAGACTCAGCTTAAGAACTACCGTCCCATCTCACTCCTAAATGTGGATTACAAAATTTTTGCTGATATTTTGGCGAGCAGACTTAAAAAAATACTTAACGAAGTAATTCATAAGGACCAGGCAGGCTTTCTCCCAGGGAGACATCTTTTGATAATACCAGGAACATTATTGATATTTTGGAACTTTTACAAACTAATATCAATACGAAAGCTGTGTTAATTTTCATCGACGCGGAGAAGGCCTTTGATAATATTTCTTGGATGTTTATGAAGAGAAACCTGGAAGGGATGGGACTGGGACGGGGTTTGAAAATGGAATAGAAGCAATTTATTCTGAGCAAAAGCTAAATTGATAGTAAACAATGTGGTGACAGATGAGTTCAAAATTGAAAAAGGACACGACAAGGGTGCCCCTATCCCCCTTTTATTTATTTCAGTCCTGGAGGTGTTACTGAACATGATTAGGAAGGACCGGTTGATACAAGGAATACAGGTCGGAGCGAAACAATATAAATTGAAAGCTTTTGCAGATGATTTGGTTTTAACATTACAGGAGCCAGAATCTAGTACAAAAGAGTATTAGAATTGATTCATGAGTTTGGTCGGGTGGCGGGATTTAAGTTGAATAAGCAAAAACTAAGGTTTTGGGGAAAAACTTGACACCCTCAGAAATAGATGGGTTTCAGAAGGAAACAGAACTAAGTGTGGTAAAAAAGTGAAATACCTAGGGGTTCACTTGTCAGCGAAAAATTTGAATCTATTTAAAGACAACTATGAAAAATGTTGGCTGGAAATCAAAAAGATTTGGAAATCTGGTCAAGATTGAAACTTTCCTTGTTAGGTCGAATTGCTGCTATAAAAATGAATGTATTGCCGAAAATGTTATTTTTGTTTCAAACCCTACAGATTGTGGACAGAGTGGAATGTTTTGGAAAGTGGCAGAAGGATATATCCAAGTTTGTCTGGCAGGGCAAAAGCCCGGATAAAGTTTAAAATACTAACTGATTTGAAAGAAAGAGGGGGGTTTGCCCTGCCGGACTTGAGATTATATTATGAAGCTGCGGCCTTCTGCTGGATGAAAGATTGGTTACTTCTTGAGAACACTGTTAAGAACGGACCTCTGGAACGAATTAAGTACTTAACCCGAGGTACCACTGTACATAATTTTTAAAGGAAATAAGCTTCTTGATTTAGTTACTATTTTGGAATGTAAAGCTTCCCAGTTCAGATGGTTAACTTTTGTATGATGATAGACCTTTGAAATAATATAAGGATTGTTTAGCTGGTCTTCCTCAGTTGTACATGAGCACAGAAAACAACCAAATCTCTATATTCCAGGAAGTAAAGTATTTTTGAAAGATACTGAGGCAAGAGTGCTTTCATTCAGGAAGAAGTCCAACAACAGAAGGCGGCTCAGGTTGGGGAAAGCTAGTTTAGATACTGAGGCAGGAGTAGTTTCTCAGAGCTACTGAGGCACTGTCTGGCCAGAATGTGTCCCACATCTGCCAAAATCTATCCCCCTAAATTCCCCCTAAAACAACAACTCAACAACCCAAAGCCATGCCTGCTCCATAGGGTTGTGAGGAAACCCCACAACAAACTTTGGAGGCATGCAGGGGAGGCGTGGCATAAGTCCAGTTGCACAAGTGAAGGCTGTTCCATTTTCACAAGGAATTACTTAGTGCCAAGTTGAATGCAACCCTAACAAATGCGTCGTGGAGATTCATAAATGCTTCAGGTCCAGTAAACTATGCCATATTATTTATTCATTCATCGTTTTTTGAATTATTAAAGAGTTTGTGTCTAAAAAGAACAAAACACACACTGTGCAATAACAACTAAAGAACATCCCCCAACATAGGGGAGGAGATCAGACAGGAGACAAAGAGATTATGTATGGATCATGTTACAACGTCTGCTTGATTGTACAAAGGATTGTTATGTTGTCCACATGTCTTCAGCTGCTGTTGGCAGGTACATCCGGTTTAGAGGTATACAAGATGAGGGCCCACCATATGGCACTAAGTGATTGTGTTATTTTCTTGTCTTGTATCAAATGTATCCTGTGTGTTATTTTTCCTCAGATCACAATAAAACAGATGTTCTCAGACTAAGCCTGTAAGGACAACTTGTCCAAAGTCCCCAACTGTTGGACTACAGCTTGATGGACAACAATTAAAAGAAATACCAGTAAATCCTTCGATGTAACGTCTTTGTTTGGCCTGCAAAACAGTAATAGCAAAAAACAACTCAGGTGCATAAATTATATTATCCCCTGTAATTTTTGAATAATATTTGGTGAACTAAAGCCCAAAGGCCATTTGCAGGCTTTCCCACCAGAAAGGAAATATGATCCTTAACACTGCATCCTTTCCAGCAACAAGGAAAAGCAAATAATCAACCAGGAAGATACACACCCCAAGAAACTTATTTGCAATGCCATACATTTCACCAACACAACCTTCCAAAGTGTTTGAAGCATTTGGACACATATGGGAGGCCTTTAGGCATTTTCACCTGCAAATTCCAGCTTCTCCAACCATACTGTGCGAAACATAAACAAATAAAAGAAATCTTCTTATTTTGCAACACTGATAAAGACAAATATTGGGAATGTTTATATTACACACACAGGTCGTTTTTTCTAAGTGTCAACATTTTGAGAATGTGTAATAATGCAGCCTTGAGGTTCCCATAGCAACATGTTTCATTTCCTAGGTGACAGTGATAGTACGTCGTCACTAGTGAACTAAACTATCACTAGAAACACGTTGAGTTTCCTTCCAATGTAGCTGTCCAGAAACAGCTGTCCTCACCTAATTACTAGTGACAACATTGGTGAACTCTGTAAAGCTTTGAGGACAAGTTATTTAGGCTCTCTATTTCATCACGTTTACCTTCCTGCTGGAGCGGTACCTATTTATCTACTTGCACTTGACGTGCTTTCAAACTGCCAGGTTGGCAGGAGCAGGGACCAAACAACGGGAGCTCACCCCGTCATGGGGATTCAAACTGCCAACCTTCTGATCATCAAGCCCTAGGCTCTGTGGTTTAGACCACAGTGCCACCCATGTCTGTGCATTTCTAGGCACTGCTCTGGTTCACCAGAAGCGGCTTAGTCATGCTGGCCACATGACCCAGAACCCGGAAGCTGTCTGCGGACAAACGCCAGCTCCCTTGGTCTACAGCGCGAGATGAGCGTGCAACCCCAGAGTCATACCTTTACCTTTACTATTTCATCACATCTCTCCAATAGTCAAGGGAAGTAGGAAAAAGCAGTATGTTAAAGAATGAGTTTGTACTATAGATATCCTTTAAAGGCAAAATGCATACTGTAGAGCTCAAGAGCACGCGATCTTCCCATCATGCCATAGAAGCGCCATTTCTACCTCTTAATCATGTCTTTCTACAGCAATGAACATTATGCAGAAATTCCAGACATGTTTTAAGGACAAAATAGGAAGGCAGGGTAAACATGTGTGCCACTTTGAACTTCTTGGAGGAAATGGGGACCATAAATATAATAATAATAAACCTTTGCATGCAAACACAGGGCCACTGTAGACAAGATTGCAAAGATTCAGGACTGGCAGGACTTTGGGTATTTTGAAGCAATACTGGGCACTTCCAGATGACCTGTTTCTTGAGCATTCATCCCCATTTGTTTGCAAGGAAGTTAGACCACGTTGACCATTTATGGAGCATTCCTTCTGGTTTGTTTGCAGGGAGGTTAAATAATGTGTCTCAGTAAGTAGTATCACACACTTTCCTGTGTATTTCCCCATCACTTTCCTTAATACAAAAAGTCTGCTCATTTAAGGAAAGGGGTTTGTTTTGCAGGACCACCCGATAAGCTATAACCGTGCAACCTGAATTTTTGAGCACATGACCATTCTAGGGGTGGACCTTGGTAATATGGCACCATATGTGAGGCCAAAATTTGATACACACTTCAGCCCTCACACCACCTTCTAAAACTGGGTAAGAGAGGCGCCAGGCTTTGGGAAAGTGGTGTGAGGGCTCTGGCAGGGTCCTAGAGCCCTCCTGTCTCCTTCCCAAAGCTACAAAGGCACTAACTAGGCTTTGGGAAGGAGGCAGGAAGGCACCCCCTTGGCTCAGCGCCCTGTGCAGGGGAGCCAGTCTTGCTGCCTTAAATCTGCCTCTGTCAAATTCTTCCAGAAAATAGTGGCAGCCTGGGGGTGCCTGCTGTTTCAAATCCAGGGGACAGAACAAGCAGCTTCTGCTCCTCATGCCCCACCTTGTGCCTCCTGCTGCTCACCATTCCCTTCAGAGCAGGCCTTGAAATAGCTCGGTGATAAGCATATTCGATGCTCAAAAAGTATCCCACATAAAAAAGCGAGTGGGCTTTTTTTATTAAAAAAACACACCAGCGCCTATCAGAGTCCCAGCATGTAGACAAGCATAAATTAGCAGTTCTTGATAATGCTACATATGTGCATTGTGGCAGAGCTAACATTGCTATGGGAACATTAACGTGGGAATAAATAATTAAATCACAAGAGAAAATAATCATTGCAGATTGTGGCAGAGAAGACCACAGCCAATTCTTGGTCTGCAATCTGTTGGATCCAGAAGTGTGAGATCTCAAAAAAAAAAAAAAAAAACCTGGCAAAAATCTGGAACCAGGTAAAACGCTTCAACCATGAGACCTGGAGATCCTGGCAATGGCCATACGTGATCTAGTGCACTATTTGCATTTAAGAGTGGCATTTAAAACCAAGTATCTCATGCAATCATAAATTACCATTACAGCAAAACTTTCTCAAGAAGGGAGAGTGGTGGGGGCAGACTAGCCTGCGTGTGTTTTTACATATTCTGATGCATTACATTATTTTTGTTCTGCAGACAGAACATTAGGTACTGGCATCAACCTTTTCCAGTACAACTTGATTCTAAAAATCAAATTGTTATTCTATGGTGTCTTATATACACACAACATAGTAATCAAGACATATTATGAGTGCTTAGAAACAACCACCCAGGATCTGGATTTTTCATTTCTGTATTGAATTTCAGTCGGTTTCAGCCTTACATTTGCAGAACAACAAAGTTTTGTTTCTGCGTATTTCATGATGGCAGAAATGGGCGGAGAACCTGTGCCCCTATAGATGTAGCTGCACTACAATTCCCATACGCCCTGAGTATTTGGCTATGCAGGCTAGGACTGGAGAACAATGGGTTCCCCATCACTATCTTAGGCAAAACAGTGTCAGGCGAGACTGCATGACCTTTTGCAATTGCTTGCAGTGCTAATGGAGGCATGGATGTTCATGAGTCTAAATGAAAACCTATAGGAATCTGGAGGTTACTTCTCACAATCATCCGGCCATGTGGTGGCCTTCTGGAATAGCTTTATCTGTTAGCTCCCTCCTTATGTGCAGCATGTTTAAGATCACCACTGCTAAACCACAGAGGATTGCTTGTATAGGCAACACAAAAATGTAATTCTGCCAATGGCAACACCTGCATGAAACAAGATTAGCACAGCCAACGCATGAAGCAGCTGTTTCATGTGGGCTTTAGCCAGCTTGTGCCAATGGTTTTGTGGAGAACTGGCCACCCATCTTTTTCCTGTCCTGGCCACTGGCCTGCTGTACTGCACTAGGCCAACCATTTCCTCTCTCTCTGGCTCATCCACACTTACCTTTTGTCCTGTGCTTTCTAGGCACAGTTCCGTGCTTCAAACCTGTATGTCTGAGTGTGCTGTTTTTGCCACTTTGCTTTCCAGAGGGAAAGTGGCTCTTTAATGGTGAATTGGAACAAACAGCAATTCCGAGTTTTCTGTGGATCACCATTTGATCCCATTTAGCGGTAAAGAGGAGATTTCCATGGAGAAAGTGCTGGGGATACATATATATATATCACTTGGACAAGAAGTTTTAAAACATGGATCTGTGCCTAGAAATGTAGCACAAAAGGAAGTTTGGATAAGTCCTCTCCCTCTGCTGTCCTGCCGCCCTCAAGCTTTATGCTTCAAAATGGCATTATTTTGGGCATTCTCTTCTTGGTATAAATTTGGAATATGCAGCAAGATGTTTACACCAGAGACATGTGGTTGATGGTATCCTAACTACAATTTAAAATTAAGGTGCGTGTTTCTTCCTCTCCTCCTATAATGAGATGGTTAAAACTAAGTTTTGAGCTGAACAGAAGGTGCTCCTTAGAAGTTCAAGAAAATGAAGAAAGTGCAAGTCTTGAACATGCATATCCAGTTAGGATACAGTAAAGACTAGTGTGTTCATTTCCTCAGCCTTATAATAAAACTAAAGAGGCCAGAGGGAAGTTTCACAGTATGAAGACGTGGTTTGGAGCAAGTGTAAAAAAAACCATTTTAGGAGATACTTGTTATAATCCACTGCAACCACACTGTCAAGAGTCATTGTTTTTACAGGCAATCCTCATTTTGCACGGGGGTTACATTCTGGACCCTGTGCATGTCAGCAGTGACCTTGTAAAGCGTTCCATTCTGCTACCATTCTGCCCTTTTAGTGACATTTTAGGGTCACTTCTGGGTTCAGCACCATGTGCATGTGTGCAATCACACACAAATAGGTTGTTGCCTGTATATAGCAAAGAGACAAAGTGATGTGTGCTTTTGACATTCTTATTATTGAGCCTGTGTATTAGGTCCATATGTATAAGGATGTCCACTCACTGAGAAGAATTCAGCATTGCTCTAAGGTGATTGTTCTGTCAGGACAAGCATTTTGGCTTGCCAGATGAAATGATACTCTCTCTTCTTGCCTGTACACCAATTTGCTGATTCTCCAGACACACACACACCCTGCAAAAAAAAGTCAATTTTGGGAGCACACAGAGGAAGAGGGGCAAATACCTTCGTGCAAACAGAAGTTCTTGCACAGGGCTTTCAATTATAGGACTCATTTTAAAATGGAGGTGGCAGGGATTGAACAAGAAAGATAGAGCAGCCACACATGCATCACCAGAAAAAGAGGACAAAAGGTGACATATTTGCAGAACAGTTGCACATGCTGGTATAATTTACACACAGAAATGCAACACATCTCACCATAGGAGGCAAGGCCAGATGACCCGAGCATCGACTCAGTCTGCTGCCCAAGCACTCATTATTCTGGAGCACTTGTGCTGCTTTCCTTTCTTATGGTCCCTTATTTAAAACTGGGCTTGATCTCGACAGCCCTTCAAACTGAGGACTGTATCTTGTAAGGTAGGACATGTGACCACCCTAACTTGGGATCTTTTACATGCAAAGCATGAGCTCTACTAAGGAACTACAGTCAAATGAACCAACTGCTCCGTAATCACTCCTCTCGCCCATGTCAGAGTAGAACAGAGAGAAGGAAAAGCTGACGTGCCTCAGAGTTGGACGTGGCAGTGTGTGAAGCAAGACAATGTCCAAGGGATCAAGTGAGTTTGCTCCGCAAGGTTTGTGAAGAGTGGGGCAATAACCTGATCAGAAGCCTAGAAAAAAGTAGAATGGGGGCCTTGTATGTCTCAGAAGAATGTTCTGTGTGGTTCTTAGGCTTATAGCCAAATTCTAGTTACTTGGAAAAATACAGTGGGACTGTAGCCATGCCTAAGATGTCAGCCTTATATAACAGCTGCCCTGCATTATTAAAACATAGTGTTTGCAATGTTTGCTGTGTATCACAGCCTTTAAAAGTAGCACCCACAAACTGAGTTTCACATCCGCTTCATATTCATATGGTAAGAACTCAGAAATTCTTCTACACGAGGTATTATTAAGAAACAGAAAGGCTAGCTAGCTTTTCTCCCTATTAAGACGATGGAATGGAGCTCAGGATTTATTACAGCGCAAGTCTGCAACCTGACAGCTTTATCTAAAATTTCCAAATTCTAATCCACTTATTGAAACATATTAGGAGATTACTGCCGGCTTTCAATAAGCAGCTCTTCATATTTACACCTTTGCCTTTGCAACCATGAATTTCTCCTCCACCACCAGTGACAGCAAACCTCCTGGTACTGCCAATCAGTGATGTATAGCTGCATTGTTAGTGTCATGTTTATGGCCCTTTTAGGCTGTGAAATATTGTTCTGTGTTCATAGTAGGTCCATTACATACACATAATGTGCTTGGATAGGATGAACAGTTTGACCAAACACACCTTCCATACACCTCTGATCATCCAGAGTCCAGAGGCAGCTGCAAAGGGACTCTTGATAGTATAACCTCAGTAGACAAAAGGGAAAAGTGAGCCTTGTCAGTTCACATTCGTTTTCCAGACACCTGCTGGCCATCTGATTTGTTATCCCAGAGTCTGATAATGAGAGAGGCCTCTGGACCTTGGCATATTCCAGTGATGATGCACAATGCAGACTGCCATACAAGCATAATGCAACATACAGTGAAGAGCTGCTCATTGATCCTGTGAGTATCAATACCTCCTTTGCCCTCTGCAACCTCAGTGTTGAAGCTATGCTTTATGGAACCTGGGAGAGAGATGGCCAAAATGATCTGATCCATGCTGTGCAATCTGAAACAGGTAGCCTCTAGTCCGGGCTCATCAGTGCAGCAGTCAGGAGCACCCATGTGCCCACAGATGTCTTTCTGGCACCCACAGGGTCCCATGCCCTGCCGAAATGAGGCTTCAGAGTAGCATTCCTGAACAGAAAAGGCTGCAAGTTGCAGTGTGTGTGGTACCTGTGACAAGTTATTCAGTTTGCAAAGCTGCTCACAGGCCCCCAAACACTGGCCATCTCTGTTCTAGGTTCTAGTGCACACCAAATGGCATTAGTAGTACATGCCACAGCCTCTAGACCGGCTTTGCATTGCCTGATGCAATAGGGAAAGCAATCTAGGTGTGGTTGGAAATGGCCACAGCATCTGTCATGCTTCTCTGCAATTTCACAGTAGGTTTCAATTCACCCGAACGCCAAATCCTCAGGACCTCAAGCTGCCTTTATGCCTGGATGGACAGAAAAAGCTTCAGAGTGTTTAAAGGGCATCACCACTAAGTTTCATTTTGTCCTGATGACCCTTTGTATCTTTCCACATGAACCACAAGAAATGTTTCCTGCGGATCCTCTTCTAAAGATTTGTATGGACCAAATGAAAACCCACCATGCCTTCCTGCCAGCGCCCTGCTACATTATTTGTTTGTTTTAATTGACAAATTACATGGAAGCTGCATTATCCTGGATAAGGTTTTATTTTATTGTAAACGCAAACCTATCAACTGGGGACAATTATTGAGTGATCCTAAGCCCATTGCTCCATCTGTCCTTGCCATTTAGACTTAATCCCTTATTATTTCATAAATCATAAAAGTGTTTTCTGAACAGAAAAAGCACCTTATCAAGCACAATATTGCTCACAGTACCAATTTGTCCAGCAGAGGGCAATAGTACACATATTCAAAAGTTGCTTAAGATTTTTTTTTAGAAGAACAACCACCTGGTTTTCAGCTTATATCTTTATGCTTTGATATTTTGTTTTAAAATATGCTCCCTCTTTCAGCACTGTTCATTTTAAAATTGCTTAGCACAACAATATATGTTTTGTTTTTCAGTTTGCTGCAGCTATAGACTATTAGAAGCACATCTCCATTCTCCACAGTTTAGCCAAAACTTCTCATGTATTTAAAACCAAGGCTTTGAAGATTTAGTCACTTGAAATAAGGGCTGGTAGAGTGTCTTAGCCACAAATTAACTTGTCTGTTGTATGTCTAAGAATAGCAGCACACAGGACCGACCCAATACATTTTGGCACCTGAGGCAGACTTCAAAATGGCACACACACCCCGCCCCCATCAGCGAAGAAGGGGTCAGGGAAGATCTACATCAGGAACAAGGAGTGGAAGAAAGATAAATATCAGGATCTGCGGCCCTGGTGGACCTTGCTGCCTGAGGCGGTCGCCTCATCTTGCCTCATGGGTGAGTGGGCCGGCCCTGACAGCACAGTTAAACTTGCTATTTCAGCTTTGTGTTAAAAAACAGAGAAATCCACATCATTCTCATGGGAAGTATAGCAGAAGGAGTTCTAATCCAGGGCCCAGTGATGGACTGCATTTTTTCAGGGGATCTCCAACAGTGGAGGCAAAGCCATCCAGGGACAGGTTTCTACCTTTTGCATGGGGTTCCCACATGCAACACTTTCCTTAGGGCTGGCTTCCTCAAAAAGGTCTAAGAAAAGATTTTCCAGATAAAAATGTCCAAAATGTCAGTAGCGGGGGAGGGGGGATTTCCTCCAAACTGCTGAAGAATTCCAGGTCCTCCTGAATAATATTCACCACCACACACAGAGAGAGAAAACATATTTGCCTGGGAATAAAGCGGCACAGCTATGGATCAGCTTTAATTATTGTTTAGTAATTTAATATTGTTGAAGGAAGTGATGGACTTGGCCACTGCTCTCACTTCCAGTTCTCCTTCCTTAGCCCATTGCTTGAGGAAAGAACATTTGAGAAAAGCAGGGATGGAGGAATACTGATGGGTTATTTTATATGAAAACAAACAAGGGCTCGATCTATACACATAAAAAAATAAGTTACTGAAAAATGCATTATAAAGCTCTTAATGGAAAATCTCAATGGTGATAGATGACAGTTCTACAGCGCCATCTGGTGTTGGATGCTTATAACACAGTTCCAAGGACCAATAACAGAAATGGATGCAACACAAAGCCAGCACCAAAAAAGCTAACACAATACTTTTCTAAACTCCCTTCTTGCCATACTCAAACTTTTTAAAAACTGCCACTTCCCCCATGTCACCTCCACAAACTTTACACAAACTTTTTCCACCATTTAAAACAGCCACCTTTTTTCTCCTTTCAGTGTTTTCTCCTTCTTGCTGTATTCAAGCTTCTCTCTCTTTCATTTCTTCTACCTGAAACCCCAGGAAGCCACTGCCAGTCTAGCTAGATGGGTGAGTGTCTTGACATTGTATAAGACAGCTTCATATATTCCTAAGGGCTGTCATGCTACTCTTCAAAGTTTACTGCTATAGCACTACTGTCTCTAACAGCTACTTCAAGTCTGGACTCTGTTAAAAGCTAGTTTAAGCCTATATTTTCCTGTAAAAAGGTAAAGGTAAAAGACCCCTGACTGTTAAGTCCAGTCATGAATGACTCTGGGGTTGTGGCGTTCATCTCACTTTAATGGCCAAGGGAGCCGACGTTTGTCCACAGACAGTTTTTCTGGGTCATGTGGCCAGCATGACTAAGCCACTTCTGGTGAAACCAGAGCAGAGCACAGAAACGCCATTTACCTTCCCGCCGGAGTGGTACCTATTTATCTACTTGCAGTTTGACGTGCTTTTGAACTGCTAGGTTGCCAGGAGCAGGGACCAAGCAACGGGAGCTCACCCCGTTGCGGGGATTCGAACCGCCGACCTTCTGATCGGCAAGCCCTAGGCTCTGTGGTTTAACCCACAGCACCACCCGCGTCCAATGTTTTCCTGTACTCCCAGCTAAATTCGTCTATACCACTAGGAACCTGCCAATCCCATATTATGCAGAGGTATTGCATTCTGTTTCCTTCTCTGTTTCACCTACTGTTTTGCAAGGCAAGAACAGATGGGAATGAATCAGTGGGCAGCTACAGTTGCCAGCACTGCAGTCTCCTACATATGACATGCTATGAATCCAGTCATTATTTAGTTAAGCAAGCCAACTTGTTCCGTAGTTGAGAAAAACAATTCCCTAATTAATATTTCCTTCTTGCTTGGGTGGTTAAAACAAGAAGGTCAAATTATCAGACATAGGAGGTTTTTCACATGTGCTCCAAAACCCTGAAGAAAGAGAAGCATGTGCTGTGATGTTCTATGGAAGCAAAATGAATGGGGATGCAGAACCGTGTAGTATAGCACACTGCTCTTTATTTCAAAGAGTTGATTGAACAGAACGTAACTGCTGAAAAGCAAGAGCAAATGTTGGTATAGTAAACCTGTTGACGACTGCAATTAGTCCTACAGGAAAAAGCAAGGAATGGTCTGCAGATGACCAAAAATAGCTTTAGCATATGTAATGAGACAATGAGACAACAGGTTTACCGTACCCATTGAGTCAATCACCCATCTCCTACTACCCTTCAGAGAAAAACCCCATCCCACCCTCCCACTATATATAAGGGTCTGGTGACTTCTGTTTCACTGTATCTGAAGAAGTATGCATGCACATGAAAGCTTATACGTAGAACAAACTTAGTTGGTCTCTAAGGTGCTACTGGACAATTTTTAATTTTTAAATTTATTTCGACTGCGTCAGACCAACACGGCTACCTACCTGGTCTATAGAGGCATTTTGATCTACCGTAAAAAGATTTCAGGTCACTTGGGCCTGGTACTTTCATGTTCCACTTATCTATTTCCTGACCAGGAGGTGAGACAGGGTTAAGCCATTTATTTTTGGTAAATTTGGTTTGTCTGCTTCATATTGACAAAATCTGAAACTCCACTAGGAGTCTCCACTAAGGGAAATACAGATTTGCTGAAAACTTGGAAATGCTAATTTATGGAGATAGATGCAAATTTAGAAATAATTGCTATAATTTAAGCACATTGCATAACTTACCACAGCAAGGGGAAACTGGACAGCCTGCTTAGTTTGCTGTCCAGCTGCTGATGGGAAACTTCAAGGCACCTCCTGCTTTCCCTCCTTAGGATCCTTTATCTTGTAACCAGGCTTGGGCCTGGCCAGCCCTTCAAACAAAGGATTGTCACCAATAAACTAGGACACATGACCACCACCAATTCCTGCCTGTACTAAAATGAACGTTTGCAATCAAAAGAACTAGAGTCAAACAGTTGGAGGCCACAAGTTCTTCCAGTCATGCCACAGGAGGTGACAAATTTACTTTCCCCTCTTTAACTCATTTATTTTCTTATTGCATATACATTCCACCTTTTTATTCAAGGAGCTCAAGTTACCATACATGGTTCTCTCCCTCATTTAATCCCCACAACAACCCTGTGAGGTAGGTTATGCTGAGAGGCAGCTACTGGCCTAAGGTGACCCAGGGAACTTCATGGTCAAATAGAGGTTTTCACACCACACTGGCTCATGAGCAAGTAGGGTGGACACGTCCAGTCCAAGCCAGGTTTAAACCTTCTTACTAATAAATGGGGAGGGGAGGGCCATGTGGAGGGTCAGTGATGCCTGCCTAAAATCCTGAAGAGCTGTTGCCATTCAGTGCAGACAGTGCTGAGCTAGGTGGCCCCAGCCAGTTCCCTATGTTCCGAACCCTATGCACAAATGGAATTATATTTAAATATATCTAATTTGAGTATAAGTGCAAACCTTCTCCCAAATAAAATCAAGAATTATTATATCCTGTAAAAGATTCCATTTCACTGAATCTTACAACATCTTTATTTGCCCTTGGTCCAGAATGAATGTTTTTAACTGAAGTCTTCCTAACCAAATTTGGGATTGACAGCAGTGCCCTGAAATTCAGCCAAAATAAGGCAAAATCCACTTCATAAAAGTTTTTTTTTTGGGGGGGGGGAGTTCTAGGTATGAACTTACATTTGGCGAATGTCTGCTGAACTTTAGACAAGACTTTACAGAAAGTTTTATGTTTTGTTTCAGAATAAGCAATGATGTTCCTCTAGGGAGGTTTTGGATTTTATGGAAATTATGCCATGCCAGCCCTGCTGTGACACACATAAATTGCTTGACTTCTTGGGAAGAAATAACCTAACAGGCTCGCACTTCATGATACTCATATTGTGGGGTGCCATACAACTTCCATACAAGGAGCAGAATAAAAAGCAAGCAGATATACCAAAGGGGAGGAGAATGCTTACTTTTCAAGTGAAAATCTAATATGTACCCTCTGTTTATATCCTGAAGTCTAAACATTTCACCTACTTAGATGTTCCCCACCTCACACCCCTTCAGAGCTGGCTTTATACATGGCCAGTCCTACCTTTATGCAAAGTGAAGTAGCTGCCTTTGGATGTCACAAAAGAGCAGCAAACTACTAATCCTTTGGTTTAACGTATTATTATTGTGTTGTTTTTTTTACTCTCAGTGAGGGTTAGAGGAACTTCTGGATATATTGTCTCAGATGCTGACCCAAGCTGACTAGTCTTGGGTACTATGTACCTGGGATCCCAAAAATTGCCAGCATGTCCAGCAGCTGCCATTTGCATATTTTTTATTTTTTATTGAAACATGAACATGTATGTTAAGTGCAAAAACAGATTTAGTGTTACATATGGTTGGACCCTTAACCTGTAAAATGATGGGACCACAATTCAAGATAGGATGAATGACAATTAAGATAGGAAAAGTGACACTAATATCTGATTACAAAGTTTCAGAAAGAACAGTTCCACATTCAGCTCCTCTTGTCAATTAATACACAAGTACAACTACAATGTTTTCAGAAAACTTCCTCTACTGCTGGAATGCCTTACCTTATGTATCCCTGTCACTTTGAACTTCAAGAGAGATACTCCTAGTAGTGCTGTATGCTCCTGAGATTTGTCTTAAATCCTCCGAGACCAGGGCCGTTAGTGTGGCAGCACGTGCCTTTTAGATCGTGTATCTAGTGAACATCTGTCAGGCACCTACAGTATTGCCATTTAGACACTCACCTGTTATCATTACAGTATTACTAATAATAAACAATTTATAGAAATGCCAAAACAGGCTTCTTTGTGGTTTTACAAGTATAAAAGGCAAGCATTCAACAAAAATGCCCATAATTAAAATACGGAATAAAAGAATCCTATGAAAAAAACACAGCAATTTTGAAGGGCCGAGGTAGAGAGATCAAAGGAATGCCTGTGAAAACCGATGCATCTTCAAAGCCAACAGAATGACAATACAGATGAGACCTCTTGTATTTCAGTAGGGAGTGCATTTAACACCAGGGCCAACCAGTGAAAAATCCCACCTCCATAACCATTAGGCTGTGGCAACTGACAAGACTAACCAGATTTCACTGGTTGATTTTAACACCATTACCAGGCATTGGAGGAGAAGTCAGCCTTTCAGGGAACCTGGTCCACAGCTGCTCATCTCGCCTTGCCCCGAGAGCTGATCCAGGCATGTTGATGTCTTAATTTGATCCACAGAATTGTCCTGTATTCATTTGTTTTACGGATGCAATTTAATTGTTGATTTTATGCTGTTTGTCACCATGACATTTTTTCTTAATATTGGTGGTGTAGACATTTTTGCAGACAAAATAAATAAACTGAAAGCCAAGGTACAGCAATACGTCAATAATGTTCTTGTCCCTAATCCCAGCCAGCAGTCATCATGCTTTTCTTTTCTGGGTATTTCTGAGGGTCTTAATTCTGAGCCCCACGTTGGCCAAAAAGATTCCTGCATTTCAAGGGGTTGGACTGAAGACCCTCATGGTCCATTCCAGCTCTACAACTCTATGATTCTATGAGTTCTTCGTTATCCTAGTTTTCTCAATATAGTTTTTCTAGAGCAGTCTAGAAAAAAATAGTTCTGAGCATAAAAAAAAATGTTCTGACATTTACACCTCACCTTTCTTCCAAGGAGCTCCAGGTGGCATACGTTGTCCCCCCCCCTTTTTTTTTCTCTCCACAGCAATTCTATGAGGCAAATTAGGCTGAGCGATAGCGATTGACCCAAGGTCAACCCGTAAGCTTCCTGGCTGACCAGCGATTTGAACTCTCATCTCCCACTACTCTAACCACTACACTACGCTCACTATGCCTTGTAGTTTGACAAAACCTTATACAAAATCCAGAGGCAAACAAAAACAGTTAAAGGGAAGGCTCAGAATCTAATTACAGGCATTTTAAAAGAAAAATTAAGACTAACATTCTAATAAATACTCATGAGATTGCAATATTTGCAATCACAGCTCAGTACCATTAGAGTTAAATTTTACCTGAACTATTTTGTTCACCGAAACCTGTAATCTTCAGCCTTTTCAGAACCCAGATCCATCCTTAGCCATGTACATTTATGGTGGTAGTGCTGCTGTGGTGGGCCACTTTACAACAGGTTGCGGCCTGGTAGCGGTCCAAGCCAACTGGTTGAAGACCAAATTCCATTTCATAAATCAAATCCCATTTCCCAAGCCTACAAAGTAATACATACCCTCCAACATTTCTCTGATGAAAATAGGGATGTCCTATTCAACAACAACAACAACAACGATTATTTTATTATTTATACCCCACCCATCTCTGGGCAACTTCCAAACATAATAAAACATTAAACATTTTTTTAAAACCTTTCCTACACAGGACTGCCTTCAGATGTCTTCTAAAAGTTGTATAGTTACTTCTCTCCTTGGCTCAGGGGACACATAACTCCATACACTCCAACATTTATCCAATGAAACTAGAGACATCCTAAGGAAAAGTGGGACATTCTGGAATCAAATCAGGAACCAGGGCAGCTTCTGTAAATCCGGGATTGCCCCTGGAAAATAGGGACACTTGGAGGTCTGGTAACCCTGAATTTGTAAATGTGTCAAAAGCAATGCCAGCAAGAAGTTACCAAATAATTTGACTGCGTGTCAGAAAACAGTTTACAGTTTATGAAAACAGAGCACAAAAAAATGATGATCTCAATATACTTTCAGAAGCAACAGACAGTAGGGGGTGAGTAGCTCAATGTTGGACCTTAAGCACATTTTATATTCAAAGTTGTAACAACCTCAGTTTAGGCACATTTCATTATTTTCCAAAAAAGTGAAGTGGCAAAACTGTAAGCGCTACTCCTGTTTACACGTTAGTATTATCTGTGCTTGTGTCTTATTCAACAGTTGCTAGGTTTGCCTCTCAGTGACTCAGCTCCTTTCCTCAGAATGAATTGGAAGAAGGAAAAAGTCAAAGAAGGTACGTCTCGGACAAAATGTGATATAATTCCTGTTATGAAGAACTTAAAAGCAATTTGTGGGAAAGGTAGTGGGCACTGTAGACAGAGATTTAAGAGAAACAAAACACAGAAGTGTTCCAAAGACTCATTCTGTAGTTTATTCAGATTATAGGCTCACTCTGCTTGAATTCACCTTAGTGAATACACTTCAATGAAGAGCCCTCACAGCCTGTTTATTAATACAGTTAAAAAGAAAGATGTGCCCCATGTACTAAGCCCTGAAATGGCTTGGAGACTACATAAAACAACAAAATAAACACTATGTTAAAAGCAACAATCCGAATCCATTGCAGAATTGCAAAGTCAAGGAGAGCAACCCATTCTCTTTCTTCAGTGACCTAAAGTTTTTTTAGAGAATAAAGACCTTGGCCTAAAGATGTGAAGAGGTTTAGCCCAGGAGTTGGGGTGCAATAAACAGGATGCCTGTCTCAATTCTTGCATCTAGCACCTCGGGGATAATATTTTCATTGTCCCACCACCAGAAACCTTCCTGGTGAGGGTGCCCTACTTGGAGTATTCCCTCTGCACAGAAGTATGACTGGCAACAACATTGCTGACATTCCGACGCCAGCTTAAAACCTCTATTTTCCCAAGCATTTATGGGATACTATTTTGCTGCTGTTAATTGGTTGTACTTTTATGTCAGAAATGTTTATTTTGTGTTTTACCGGTATTTTACCTGCTCTTAACTTGCTGGACTGTTGTCACTGCTTTAAATAAGAATAGCAAAATAATGACGATAACAGTAGTAATAGTTATATTGGTGAAAGGTGAATTTAAAATGCTACTGATGAACAGGCAGGCAGGGAGGAAGCAAATAAGAACACTAAAACTGCTTGGCAACATTTTAGATACTGTATAGGAAGGTGCAGAGGGGGTGGGAATCAAGACCAATGCTTTATCTGCTACACTACTTTTTCCAATCTTGTACAACATAAGCTCCTCCCTCAAAAAAAAGAGAGAGAAAAGCAGGATGCTGCATAAAATGTTCGTTCAAAGCTGTATGATTTCTTCCAAACACAGATTTTAGTCTTTTGGTTTATTGGCAATCCAGTGCAAAATTTCTAGACTGCCAAGTTCAAGGCAGCTGATCCCTGACTGCTGAATGTCTTGCCCAGTTCCAAAGCAGACTTGCAAATTTGGCTACTGCACTCTTCCTCTCAATCTATTCCTGGGATCTGATGACAAAGATTGCTTTAAAAATGAGGTTTCTAAGAAAACTCATGTGCCTGAGTCCGGACTGAAAACTACAACCCTAGCCGGTGGAATGTAAATTGCTCTGGTTCGTCTAAAAGGCTAGTGATAAACAAAATATTCATAGCTGCATTCACCACTACCACAACATTCAAATATTGTCTGTGTTCTTCATAGTTTTACTTTACCAAGAACAATTGGCACTATTTTGATAACTTGCAGGATATTACAGAACTCAACCAGCTACTGTTATACATATAAGGCAAACTATTTTGAAAATAAAGGAGAAAGAATCAATGTCAGGATAAGCCTCGTTATAAATAAACATGCTACAAAACCAATAGTTATGTACAGTGCTTTTTTTCCTTAAAAAAATGTTTAGAGGTACTCCCATTTTCCTACTCATATTTTCCTACTCATACTGCCCCTCAATGAGGCCAAACTTAGATTCACAAAATGTTTAGGGGTGTGCGTCCCCCTGCGTCCCACCAGGAAAAAGCACTGGTTATGCTCAGTTAGCCATGGAATATTTTAGTTATTCTGCCCTTTTGTCAACAGGTTAGAACAAACAACTGCAACCTCTCACCACAAGCCAAAAGGCACAGCTGCAGTCACACCATGGGTTGGATCCAGATAAAGGCTGCAACCCTAACCACACTTACCTAGGAGTCAGCTCCACTGAATTTAATAGGACTTGCTTCTGAGCAGGTCACACAGTGAGCTTCATGGCTGAGTGGGGATTTGAAACCTGATCTCCCAGGTCATATTCCAGCACTCTAACCATTACACACTGGCTCTCAACACCACACCAGTATGAAGAGAACATGAGTAGTGCCCACTGATAGCCTTGCCCTCCATGAATTTTTCTAATCCCTTTTTAAAGCCATACAAGTTTCAGGTACTCATAATACTTTCCTGTACTACGAGAAAGGGGAGGAAAAAGTCAGGGTCAAACTAGATGTGGCATTAAATGCATTTCTGCATTTAACATACAGTGGTACCTCGGGTTAAGTACTTAATTCGTTCCGGAGGTCCGTTCTTAACCTGAAACTGCTCTTAACCTGAAGCACCACTTTAGCTAATGGAGCCTCCTGCTGCCGCCGTGCCGCCAGAGCCCGATTTCTGTTCTTATCCTGAAGCAAAGTTCTTAACCTGAAGCACTATTTCTGGGTTAGCGGAGTGTGTAACCTGAAGCGTATGTAACCTGAGGTACCACTGTATTTTGAAAAATGTAGACAGAGCTTCTGGCGGAGGCTGGTGAATAATGCAATCAGAGCTGACTGGACATTGGGGAAAGTACAACACTTTCTTTCTCTATTGCTAACAGGAAGAAAACCCATTTTCTGAAGCTAGTATTTACTCTGGAGTGGGAATCCCCCAGTGGCATCAAATGAGGGGAGATTTTTAAAAAACTACCGTAACTAAAAATTGGGGGGCGGTTTCCTTACAGTGCAAATTGCCACTTCAAAGAAGTGGTTTTTCTATAGACAACAGGAGGCAAGGAAAGCGTTAATCTCCACTTCCCCTGCTGTGATTCCAGCTGAAGGAGCTCACTTGAGGAGATGGCGCCACGTTGCCAGTGCATCTGCACAGCAACAACTACCCCTCCTGGTAACAGCAACACACCTTCCAGGAAACTAGAGTCCACTAGTGGCTCCAGGCCACCCAAGAAAGCTGTTCCAGATCCCAGTAATAATCAGTCTCCCTCAGCAGCTTCTATTTGCATTTTAAAAAACTGTGCACACATAGCGCCACATCCACTTCAGCCCTCAGAAGCCCACCGTTATGTGTTAGAGCTTGGTTTATGCCTGCAGCCAGAGACCTCTGACTTTGCTGCATCCTTAACACCATAGGCAGGATGCCCTGCATGGAACAGAGCCAGATGAGGTGCCTAAGTGAATCCCATATACAACATGATCAGCCCAGGAACTGCTCAGCCCTTGGACATCCGGACCTATGTGAATGCTTCCAGAAATTTGGGTGTTAAGGAAGCAAGAGCTGCCATCAAACTAAGCTGTCCTGGGAATGCTGTTTATACTCCTCTAGTTAAATTCTACATGGAAATGAGATGCTTTAACCAAAAGCTGCCCTAAAATATTACGCTAACATTTTTAAAAAATTTATGCTGATCTCCTTAAGACCACAGTAAGGGTTTGTCTGCATTGCGAGAGACATAAGATGAACATCAGATGGCTACACTGATTTTTTATTTTTATTTTATTTTTTGCATTCTAGATGTGAGACTTTACAGGAGGCCACCTGTCTCTCAAAAGTCTCCAGATGTTTCAGCTGTTTGTGGGTGCTCGGTTGCACCATTTTGCAACAATGCACTGGTTACCAGTTGGGAATAATTTTGGGTGCTGGTAAATACCTTTAAATTCCCAAATGCCTTGGGCCAAGTTTAACTGAAGGACCATAGAAAGGCCAATTTCTGCATCCCAACTAAACAGACGCAAGACTGTTTGAGATGTATAACATTGACCATCTTATATTTTGCTTGCCTAGTTGAAATTTTAGCAGCTGATCTTGCCACTGGAGTTGTCTAATCTTAATGACAAATAAAAAGCTGATTTTATTGAAATTATTATTATTATATTATTATTATTTTGCTTTTTTATAATGGGGGAAGCACTGTTTTGACAGTGGAAGGATAGGATACACAAAATAAATATTGCACATTTTTTGAAGAAGTTAATGTTGTCCTGCTGCAGTAGAGACTACATTCATTTTAAACATTTGCTTCATTTAGCTAATGCCTTCCTGTTCTCATAGATGGCTGATTTCAGACACTACTTTTAATCTCATATTTAAGCTGAAAGAATCATTCATACTTGCAAATATCCAGTAATAAAAAAGCAGTAATATCTGAACATCAGATATTCAGCCGAGTCTCCTTGGATTATTTGGAGCACACAAATCTAACTAGTAATAAGTTCTATGTATATAAACTAGTTATGTCATTGAAGTTCATCATAAACAGCCCCTAGTTCAGTATATGAATTTGTCCAGTCCATCATGTTTGGCTTTATTATGAATCAAATCCTGTTCTTCTCCAGCTCAGAACGCTAAGAGAGATTCTGTGTGTGCACCATCAGCATTCAGCAGACCATCGTTCAGTCGTCTGCTTTGTTGCATGTGCAGAAAAGCAGGATTCAGGATGTCAAAATTATACGGCATGGGCTTGTTAATATAATAAAAGGCAAGGAGAGGAGAACTCATTGTGATGTTATGTATGAATTAAGTGCTGTTGGCCAGAGATACTTAAGAACCACACATGTCCTTAGAAAAAGTCAATTTGCTTACTAGCAGATTATACCCTCTATTTACCAAATACTGTAAAGAATTACAACGGCAAAGCTTTGATCGGTTGCTCCAATCTCCAGCCTTCATCTATTCTTTTCCTGTTGTTACATGCAAAGCAGGAAGGTTTTTGCAGTCCCCCTGCATTTTTGCAATTTCTAGAAATCCTAGCAGGGTTAATAAATAATATCACCTGTCTAAATTAAACAAAACTAGGGATATACGTGCCCTATGTAGATTTGAAATTTATGTTGGCAGACTTTCATTGGGTTGAATAATCCCAATGTAATGCATGTTGGAGCCTAGTAAGTATTTTGTCTCTGTAAAACACAAGTGTTTTGTATGTACAGTGGTACCTCGGGTTACAGACGCTTCAGGTTACAGACTCTGCTAACCCAGAAATAGTACCTTGGGTTAAGAACCTTGCTTCAGGATGAGAACAGAAATTGTGCGGCGGCACAGCAGCAGCGGGAAGCCCCATTATCTAAAGTGGTACCTCAGGTTAAGAACAGTTTCAGGTTAAGAACGGACCTCCGGAACGAATTAAGTTCTTAACCCGAGGTACCACTGTATACAGCAAATCATTTTAGGATAATCCATAGTGGTACTATAAAAGAGAACACCCCCTCACACACACACACACACACACACACACACACACACACAGATATTGTGGCATCCTATATACTTCAAATGGTTTACACAATTACATTTTCACAAAATTAGCAAACAGAATTATTTTTCCTGTCAACTGGGAAGAAAGACTTTTAAATATGCTTATGTAAAAATAAGTGTGGCAAGTCAAGCATTCTAAGTTTAGTTCCATGATTTTACAGTATCAATGAACGTACATGAATCTGCAGTGGATACACATAATATAGGTGCACAAGCTTTATCTGCTCTCTGAAATGAGTACTTGTAGCATTCACTGGCACTGAGTGCCATGCAGACACTTGTTTCACCACTGCCCAGCATTAGAGCTGAGCTGACGCATTTGGAGCTTGAATCCTCCAGCCTACAAAGGACCAACAGCCATTGAGGCTTTGAAAAAGATCATCTGGACCATGCTCAATACCTTGGCTGCAATGGAAGTGAGTCGGAAATTAGGTGAGCAGAGCAGAGGCTAGGCGATCACTCGCTAATTAAACATTTGCAAATCTGAGGAAGTATGCTCATCAGTTCTACTTTGTTTCCAAATAAAGGTGTTGTTGCTAACATAATGTACTTTTGTCCGCCATTACATGAGGTTTCTTGACAAGCAGCGGTTTTGAAACCATCACATTTGCACCGCGCCAGTGTTCTCCGTGAGCTTCCATGTTCACTGCAAGCAACCCAGTAGTGTAAATAGCACTTCACTTGCAATCTAGCTTTCAGGTCTCTGTTCAATGAAGGAAGGAAGGTTTTCTGAAAAAATTATTCACTTCCAAGCAACTGCAAAGAAAATAAACTGCATAGAAATATGCACAGAAGGTTTGGGTTTGCCTGCAAGTGACTGGACTTGTTTTCACAGACAAATAGTTTAGGATTGGAAAGGATGGCTTTCATTAATTTTGATGCTGAAGGACTCTAATACAAAGAACGAAAACCTTCCAGAAGCCCCTTCAAAGCAAATGGTGGAACGCCATGACTGCGTCATTGTGAAAATGTTTGCAGAGCACACCAAAAACTGGGCTTGATGCAATGAAGACAGACGAAAACCCACATCATATCACCCCCCAGAAACACATCCATGGTGGAGACTGAATCTCCCAAGTCTTGATCGGCTTTGACGGCATTTTGATCCTCAACATTTTGAGAACAAGGACAACTGACTCCATATTGGATGACATGCATTCCCTCTCTTTCGGCTCCAGTCTCAGGTTTTTCACCTGCCAACAAGGCAAATGCACCGTCTCAATTCTGCCATGGGCAGAAACACATTTACAGTCCACGGGGGACACACAATCTCCAGCTTGCTCTTCACAATCATCGCTTGGACCACTGACCCCCCAACACACCCCAATCCCTCCTCTGCATTGTAATGACCAGCCCTTCAAGACTGTGCCTTGGCTTGGAGTGAAACCTAGGCCCCAGAAAAGCAGAATAAGCACCAAAAGAGAAAGAAAACGAGCAGGTGAACTGAAAGAACAAACAACTGCAAAAGTGCCTAAGAGATCAAAGGAGGGCAGGGCTGATCTGCTTTCCCACACCAGCTGCTAAAGTGCATGGCAGCTCCCCACACACAAGGGGGGGGGATGCAGCAAAGAAAAAACCCACAACTTTCTCTCAAGTGCAATGCAAGTACAATATTTGCAGCAATCGGCATCTTGCAACTAGCACCTTGGCAGAGATGGAGGATTTGCCAAAGGAGGAAGTAAGGAGACCCTCCACCAGTCTTTCCCACAGAGAAATGCACTCTCACTCACCAGCTACCCCCACTCCCACAACACCGCCAAACATACTGGTCTCCATATAATATTTTCCCAATGCTCCAGAGACAGACTGAAAGGAGCACACCATATGCAACTGAAATTAAAGGGCTGGGGAGGGAAGAACGATTGATCAGCCACCCTGCAGCCCCTCCTCCCATCACTTTATCAGCCAATCAATCAATCAATCAATCAATCATCCCTTTTGTTTCCTCTCCTGCCTTTTCACCCTTCACTCCCAAAAGTTCAACAGTACCCCGAGACACACAATAGAAGTATATATACAATCACAGAGCCTGGACTAGAGGGAATCTGGCCTAAATTTGACAGTCGCCAGCCCAACTCAAGCAGCTGGTGGGGGATCTGATCGGCTCAAAGATGCATTCCTATGCTGGGATCCCACTCTTAATTTTTTCCCCTAGCAGGCGAACCAGCTTTCCGCCCCCCTCCTACCTTGCTCTTCGCTGTCCCCCAACTGGGTTTTGGGTTCCTCCTCGGGGAGGCCGGATCCTCCACCCTCGGGGGTTTTGCGTTTCTTCGACATCTGGACGGGGCTTGGGAGTAGAGTTTCCTTCCCCCCTCGCTCTCTCTCTCGCTCTCTCTCTCTCTCTCCAGGGAGATCGGGAGGGAGAAAGCAAGACACACGCGCGCGTAACACACACCGCCGCGGATGGAAAGGAATCGCTGCTTAAAAAGGGGGAGAGACTTTAGAGTGGCTGGAGAGCAAGGAGGAGGCAGGGTCTAAGTAGAGCAATCCTACAAATCACAAGCCCATCCGCGCAGCCCCACGTCGAAAGAGGGTTGCTTGGTTATGGGATCTGCTCCCCACCCCCCTCCGGACCACCATTATTATTATTATTTTGGCTTTTTTCGGGAAACTAGTAAGTAGAGGTGCGAAATTCAGAAAGTGGCCAACTGATCATGGAAGGGGGTGTTGGAAATTAAGGGACGCTGCGTAACAGCAATAGGGAAGTCCTTCTAAATATATTAAAATATACATATATATTAGAGGCGGGGTGCAGCGCGAAATGTTTCTAAATGAACCTCAGTGTAGGTGAGGAGGACTTGCAGAGAGCGAGGAAGAGGAGGAGTTATTAGCCTGAGCCTCACAGGGCTGCAAGGGGCCCGAGTCGCCTGCAGGGGGGGCGCTTTGCTTTGGGAAGCGGCGTGGGGTGCGCGGAGCGCGAGTCCTAGCGGATGAAATTCACGCCAGGGGGCGGAGAGGGACCAGATGATCCTTCCAGCCGGAGGAAGGGGGGCAGTGAGCAGGAAAGCCGGATCGGGCGTGCTCGCTCCTCCTAGCTCCGATCCCGGATCCCTTCGGCTTGCTAGCGCCGAAGCACGCTGCCTAGGAGAGAGCCAGTCCCCTCGAAGGAAGTTGCGCCGGACTCTTAAGGAATCGTTGCGGGCAGCCGGCGCTTCGCAGCTGGCCACCAGGAGTTCACGCGCAACTCGACTCTTAAGCACGCGCGCTCCCCGGTTACGGAAGGTGGAATCCCAGCAGTCGGACAGGATCTCTCTCCCCACCACCACCCGCACCTGCCCCAAATGCCTCTGTAACCCTTTCCACTCCAGGCTGCCTCGATGCAAAAGAACGCACGCGTTGCTTTGGCAGAAGCTGCCACACTTTTTCTTTCTCTTTGTCTCTTTCTCGCCACCCCCCACCCACCGCCAGCCTTTGCGGCTTTTCTACCACCTGCTCTGCCCTCCGAGGTTGCTGCGTTCTCCACGCCGCCTCCCCCCCCCCCCGCCCCCGCTCTTCACAGACACTTACCCTCCAAAACTACGCAGCGAGCTTGATCTCGGTTGTTTCGCCCTCTGGGGCAAGTTTGAAAGAAAGGGGTTCATTCCGGAAGGCAAAAGAGAGACGAAATCGGGGAGGACTCGCCGCAGAAGTGGCTGGAAGTTAAGGTCCCCCACCCCACCCCAATTCCCAGCTTTTGCTGGTGCAGACAGTAAGAGCAGCAGGTGCCCCAAGGGAACCTGGACGCCCCAAGGAGGGAACCCCGCGCTGGACAAGTCTTGCTTTAAGACATGTTGGCTGCTTGGTTCCCTCTCCATCCGTTGCCCGGAAGCTTCTGCAAAGCCCTTTTGCAAGGCAGCCACCCCCAAATCGACTGAGTTCATGATTACTTCTTTTTCTCCTCGAAGAAAGAGAGAGAAAAAGAATCGGGCTGGCTGATCCCTCTCCGGTCCGTCTGATAGGGGGCTGCTGGTGCCCAGGATCTCTAGGCAAAAGACTGCGCGCCTGGCTGGAAGTTGCAGAGTTTTTCTTGAGCGCGAGAAGGGGGCTGAGGGGTTGGCCGCATCTCACGTCCAAGAGGAGGCAATGACGTCTGTAGCTCCATTGCTATAACAGCGCCAAGGCTGCAATTGGCATTTATTGAAATGATAAGGGGCGCTCGGGCGTAAGCAACCTGCACCCTTTCAGCAAGAGACTTGGAAGCCGAGATGATTTGCAGCAGCGCTCACACCCTTCCTAAAACAAACGTAAAACAGTTTGGAAAAGGCTTGGAGTTGGGGGAGCGGGGGGAGAGAGAGAGAGAGGGGAGGAGGGAGGGATCTCTGCAGTCGCCGACGCTTCTGTGGAGCCACAAAAACACACGATTCCTTACGAGAGACCCACAGCCGGCTGAGAACTTGAACCTGATGAGGCTGAAATGAAGAGAGGCTGAAAGTGATCCGACGCCCAGAGCGCCCTTTCTGTCTCTTTCCAGGCTGGGAGATGGGGGAAATCTCCCTAATATTAAAATTTAGCCCTTCTATTCCCAAGGGCTCAAGATTTTTATTAGTCTCTCAAGAGACTATAAATCCAACAAGTGAAGCTTTTCCCCATCAAGGAAGCTGGTCCCTACTGAATCTACGTCACGTAGTTCGCCCGGAGGAATGGCGCAGCAGCGAGCCCCAACTCCCCCCCCCCCGCCCCATATTGTGATCGGCTAAATGAGGGGAAGGGGTGGAAGTAGCTCAGAAGGTCTTGAGTTCGATCCTCGGGTTGGGTTGGGAAGGTCCCCTGCCTGAAATCCCGGAGAGTCGCTTGCCAGTCAGTGTGGGCAATAGTAAGCTAGATGGGCCAAGGATCTGACTGGCATAAGGCAGCTTTCTTTGTTATAAGGAGCCATTTCTGGCTACCAATGGCCCCGTTTCTGGCTATGGATCTGCGGCTGCAGCATGGTGAGGAGGAACGTGGCAAAGCCTCACAGGTGTGTGACGCAGGTGGAGACGCTTCCGTTACTCTGTGTTAGCGTACGTGTATGTGTACTTTAAAAGGCATCGCAATTCTAAATCCACGTCCCTGGACGCGCTGCAGAAATAAAGAATACACACGTGCCCCCACCAAATGCCATCTCAGCCAAGAAGAGGGAAACCAGAAAGGTAACCTCCACCCCCGGCCGCCCCACCCCCTCACCAGGTCCTTCGTCATTCCCAGCTAAAGTACAAACTCGCGCTCTCTCACGCGCCGCCGCCGCTGCTCTCCTGCTCTCAAAAAAACGACAGCTTGGAAAGATGTTCAATAACCCAAAGAAACTGCCTGCCAACAGCACGCTGCTCCAGGATAGGAGCAAGCCCGGCCGCATCAGCGCTGCCCAGCGCTCCCATTGCACGTCGCGGAATCAAAACACGCACGCAAGCAGACACGCGTTCTCCATTGCAGAGCACTCCCTCCCCCGCCCCCCAAGCGGGGCCACTCTCGGGAATCGCTCCTCCGCCCCCGCTCCTTAAAATCCGGATACAGCATGGCATTCTGTTGTGGAATGCGTCCGTGGCAGGCGTGGGTCCATAAAGTCTAGGGGCTTGGGAGGAACACACACGTATCAGCCGTGTTCACGCTTTAAGAGTGCGGCCCTAGACATGTCTACTCAGGAGGAAGCTCCATTAAGTTCGATGGGACTTATGTCCAGGTAAGGAGGCATAGGAAGGATTTCAGCCAAAGTCAAGTGTCGGGTTGGAGACCAGAAAGATAAAGCTACCTGCACTTGCCTCTATATCACATAATTGTAGAGTTGGAAGGGACCCCGAGAGTCATCTAGTCCAACCATGTGCAATACAATAATCTCAACTAAAGCATCCATGACAGACGGCCATCCAACCTCTGCTTAAAAACCTCCAAGGAAGGAGAGTCCACCACCTCCTGAGGAAGTCCGTTCTACCGTGGAACAGATCTTCCTGTCAGAAAGTTCTTCCTGATGTTTAGTCAGAATCTCATTTCTTGTTACTTGAAGCCAGTGGTTCGAGTCCTACCCCTCCAAAGCAGGAGAAAACAAGTTTGTTCCATCATTCAGTGTCAGTCCTTTAGATATCTGAAGGCCCCAGTTTCAATCCCTGGCATCCCCAGGTGGAGCTTTGTCCCCTGTCTTAAACCCAGGAAAGCAGCAGACAATCAATGTCAGCAATACTAAGCTAGATGTTTTGACTCTGTATTAGGTAGCTTCTTATGTCGGAAGGGCAATTTGGGATGGGCAACGTTATAGGAGGAGGAATGCTTGGCTCTTCAAGTAGGAAGCTTGGGGTCCTTGTCCTTCTCCCTGCCAAGGACCTAACTATGAAGACAGCCAAATGTTGCCACAAATATCGCAGAAACATGGATCCCAGGCAAAACCATCTTCCCTCCACAGCATCTGGGTCATGGAAGAAAGAAAGCTAATAGAACATTCACTGCCCTCCAGCAGACTGCAGAATCCTGGATCAAATGTGTAACTACATTCCAGAACTGTAGATCCATTTACCTGCCACCTGCACCCAAGACATATACCCTCACCCTCTTTCTGTGCCATAAGGTGATAGCATTGTTATCCTTCCTCTCTCTCTCTCTCTCTCTCTCTCTCTCTCTCTCATATTATCATGCAGGCCCCATTGGGCAGTGAAGGCAGGTTGTACAACAGCAATGGCCAGTGCAAGTGAGTGAGAACGGAGGGACACTGAGAGGGGGGAAGTGGAGGTTTAAATAAGGACAGAAGTTTGTGTAAAGCAGGGACGGGAGAAACCAGGAGCAAATTGGTCCCAAGTTATTTATACAATGCCTTCCTAAAGTATAGTACAGTGGTACCTTGGTTCCTGAACGGCTTAGTTGTCGAACAAATCGGCTCCAGAATGCTACAAACCCAGAATGAAGTGTTCCAGCTTGCAAACATTTTTTGGAAGCCAAACATATGACATGGCTTCCGATTGAGTGCAGGAAGCTCCTGCAGCAAATCAGAAGCTGCGCCTTGGTTTTCAAATGGTTTCGGGAGTCGAACGGACTCCCAGAATGGATTAAGTTCGAGAACCAAGCTACCACTGTATAACAACATAAGTACAAGAACCCAAGAAAACAAATTAATAAAGCATACACCCAATGTATTCTAAGCCCACTCAATAGAAAGAAGTGGAGCAGTGTGCCCTGTGTAGTACAGAGCTTAACTTTTTTCTCAAGGGCTTGGGCCCTTGTCTTGGGCCTCGTACATGTTGAGCTCCCTTAAAAGTACTGTACTCCAAGCAAGCCTTGTAATTAAACTTGCAGTTTCTTTATACAAAGGGCCACCCAAACAAGCATAGCAGAAATCAGAAGATGTAGACATCGATCTAGAGCCTTGATAGATTCATAGTGTCAGGATTCCATCTGAGTCAGAGGGTGTCAGGCTGAGCTCAAGATTACTTCCTTAGCAGCTGCATTGTACTGCTGGCTCATGTATAGCTTATGCTCAACTGAGATAGTCTCCAGACAGGAAGGTGTGTTAGTCTATTGAAACACAAACAACAGAGTCTTGTAACACCTTAAAAACTTAACACATTTATTATGGCACAAACTTTCTAGGGCTACAGACCATTTCAACAAGTGCATAAAGTGTCACCCTAAGTTTTGGGCCTGGGGATTGTAAACAGTGAAATCGGAAAGAAACGAAATGCAGAAAAGTACAGAGGATGATAATTACATATTTAATGGTGGCCATTCACACACACACACACACACACACACACACACACACACTAAACAACAACAACAATTTTGTCTGTAACCAAGACATCCTGGTACAGGAAACCAAGAAATACATGTAGTGTGATAAAAATCCGTTGTGCTGATTCATTGCACAACTGATAGCACTGAGGCTCTTGATATATTGTAATTCAACCATATCACATTCCAGTCACTCTTTCCCTTTTCTTTGTTACAGTGTGGTCATCTTAAGGTTAGTTACAATGCGTCTGGGAAGGTTAAAGTGTTCCCCTTCTGGGGTTGTTGTTGTTTTTTAAAACCATTGCAATTTCTTTCTTTTTTTTATAAATATTTTTATTGAATTTTCAGTTTTTTACATTTCAAAATAAACATTTTACAAACTTTAAAATATCCTAAATATCCTTCTTCTCCTTCCATGGTTCAAATTACATACCAGACATTCCTGCATATTTTACTATAACCATTCAAATCAATTTCCCACTTTTATATCATTCAAATATTGTTTGCTCTGTTGAATTTATCTTAATGCTGCCAGCGTTTTCAGCTGTGTACAATTATTTTCCATATATTCAATAAATATTTTGCACTCTCCTTAAATATATGTTCTTCTTGCTCTCTTGTTCTGTGTGTTAAACCTGCAAGTTCTGCATATTCTAACATCTTAAGCTGCCAATCTTGACATGGGATCTCGCTCACTTTCCATTTGGGGGCTAATAGAACATGGGTCGCTGTTGTTGCCTACATAAATAAACTTTTCTGGCACCTGTGAATTTCTGTCTGGGTTATTCCCAACAAAAAGGACTCTGGGGGTTTTTGGAGGGTAGATTTAAACATTTTTTTCAACTCATCATAAATCATTTCCCAGTATTATTTACCTTTCTACATGCCCACCACATATGAAAAAAGTTCCTCCCATTTCTTTGCATTTCCAACACATATCTGATTCAGCTTTATACATCTTAGACAACCTACTCAGAGTTAAATGCCATCTATGAATCGTTTTCAAATAGTTCTCTTTCAGAGAATAACACATGGTAAATTTCAAATCTCTTCTCCAGAGTTTCTCCCAGAGGCTTAGGTCTATATTGTGTCCTATATCTATTGACCAGTGTGTCATTGATGTTTAACTAGCTTGTCTTTTGTTGTGTAATGGGATGTCTCTCCCTCTGCTTCCCATGTGCACCCCTTGAATCTGTTCTAGGGGTTCCCCCAACCCTCTGGAACAGATTTGGGAACGGGGTATGAAGTATGCGTGAGGAAAGGAGAAGGAAAGTCTTCTGCTGTGCAAGTGGAAATCAGTGCATTGACACAACTTGTTACTAGAATACCATCTATTGC